TGGGAACTCAGAATAATAATACGGTCAAGGGGCTTCACCCCCATCCCCACCCCTCCACACACAAGCATGCACACTGTGGCCTTTCCCCAGTTCCTAGCTCCACTGGGATGAGGGCAGAAAGGTTTAGAGCCCATGGGGGGCTCCAGGATCCCACCCTCGAGCAGTGTTCCTCTCTTCTCCCCTAATCCATTCCGCCAATGAGTAAAAGCTTTTCTTAAAAAGGGAACCACCCGCAACCCCAACCCAAGAATTTTAGCAGCTCTTCTATGTGCAGTTATGGCAATTCTAAGCACTATATGGCTCACTTAAAACGTGAGGGCCAGTCCTCCCAAGAGCAAATACAGTATTATCTCACTGAACTAAAAAGCCCTAAGGGTTTGCTTTTTTCTGAGTAAACAAACTCATCCTGCCACAGTATATGTCTACACAAAGTGAGGATTGGACCATATTAGCATAGGAATCGTGGCGCAGTGCTGACCTAAGAGTCAGAAGGACCTGAGTTTCAATCCTGGCTGTGACGCTGACTAGCTTGAGACATTTCCCGCTTTGGGATTCATTTTCCTCCTCTCTAATATGAAGGAGCTGGCCTGAGTCAAGAAGCATTTATAAAGCACCTATGTGCCAGGAGCTATGGCAAATAAATGCAGGGGGTGCAATGAAAGGCAGAGGGAGAACATTCTGCCTCAGTAGGATGGGAGTAGGGGTCCAGTGTAGACTAAGGTCCTCCAGGGATTTAATGCTAAGCACTGTGGGGGGAGGCATTCAGGCTTCTAGCCCCCAAAATCGATTTTTGGGAAAACAAGACTCCCACGCATAAAAAATTAACTCCGTCTCCTCCTGTTCCACTCCAATGCCTCCACCCAGCTTCCTCACCTCATGCAGGAGTAATTTGTTCTCCCTCCTTCCAGTTGCTCAGAGTGGCCTTCAAAGCCTTCCCTAATCTGGATCCTACTTCCCTTTCCACCTTACTTTATTATTCCCTCCCTTCCACATACTCCATGTTCCAACCAAGCTGAGCTAAGCAGCTCCACAAACACACCATTTGATTTTCTGTTTCCACACTATGGCTCACCCTGTTCCCCTTAACCAGCATGTTCTCTCCCTCCCCTCTGTCTATGCAAATCCATCCACTGATTCACAGAATAGTGAATGCTAGAGCTGGGAGCAATATGAGAACATGTGCTAGTCTCTGTTACATAATGAAACCTAGAACACTGGCCCCTGAGGAGACCTTAGAGATCTCGTCATCTAACCTCCTAATTTTGACGATGAAGAAATTGAGGCCTAGTGAGGGGCCATAAGTCATACAAGCCACTCTCCAAATTGAAGCTCCTAGTGGAAAGATATCCTGTCTTAGACCCCCTTCTATCAATCCATCAACAAACATTTATTAAGGGGCAGCTAGGTGGCACAGTAGATAGAGCACCAGCCCTGGAGTCAGGAGGACCTGAGTTCAAATCCAGCCTCAGACACTTGATATTTATTAACTGTGTGACCCTGGGCAAGTCACTTAATCCCATTGCCTGGCCAAAAAACACAAAATAAAACAAAACAAACAAGCATTTATTAAGTGCTTACTATGTGCCAAGCACTTTGCTAAGTGCTTGAAGATATAAGGACAAAAACATAACAGTCTCTGCCCTCAAAGAGCTTACATTCTACAGAGGGAAACAATACGCATTCACCTAAATAAATACAAAGTAATGGCGGACAGGTGGACAGCAGGACCAGCATCTTGGGACTGGGGCTCAGGAAAGGAATCATGAAGAAGTTGATACTTGAATTGAGCCCTGAAGGGAAGCAGGGATTCCAGAGTTGGAGAAAAAAGGTAGTGAATTCCAGGCATGAAGGGGCAGCCTATACAAAGGCCCAGAGATGGGCAATGGCATGTTATAGCCAACGCACAGCAAGCACGCTGGTTTGGCTGAAACACAGTGCATGATGGAGATTAATACATAATAACCCTGGAAAGATCAGCTGTAGCCAGACCATGACAGGCTTTGGAGGCTGAGCAGAAGAGTTCATATTCTATTCTCAGGGCAATAGAGAGTCACCAGAGCTTTTTGAGTCAGGAAATACAGTGGATGGATTATCGAGGGGAGACACTAGAAGCAAGGAGAACAATTAGGAGGCTGTTTTGATAGTCTGCTTAAGAAGTGATAGGGCCTGAATTATAAGATAGTTATGGTGTAGGCGATTAGGAGGAGAGAGAGGAAAGAGAATTTGGGGGTTGGGGGGGGCATTGAACTGATCAAAACTTGACTGATAGGATTTGGGGAGACAGTAAAGAGTTGAATATGACTCATTACCTAGTACAGGATCTTAAAAGTTGAAGCCTGAATAAAAATGTGTTGCATGAGAGCACAGGAGCAAAGAAACCTGGGTTCTAATCTTTACCTTATTGCGCAACCCTGGGCAAATCATCTACCGGCTCTGGACCACCTCCAAAAGCTGGGAAATGAAGGCATGGGGTGAAAGGGCTCCACATACTGTAGGGGTGCCCAACACCCCTCTACCTCAAGGCAATAGGGGGTGGATTGGAAATTGTCTAGTTGAATCACTGAACAAAGAATGTTAGAGTCATAAGAACCTCAGAGCAGAGATCAGAGTACCTCCCCCAGTTTCCCCATACCTGTATAAAATTCCCCATATTCCCCACGTATGTATAAAATGAGAATAAAAACAGTTGCTCTCTGATGTCTAAAATTCCTTCCAACTCTAAGTTCTCTGATCCTGGGATTTCCTGAAACCCAAATTAGGGAGATTTGCTATGACTCCCAGGCCCAGAGCTGCTTCACCTAACACCGAAGGAAGGAGATTCAGAGCCTCTCTTTTTCTACATCATCCTCAGAGTGATGAAACTTAGGATCCCCAGTAAAGGCAAGAAAGCATCAGGAAGTGAGCTGAGGTGAAGGGGGGAGAGTCTCTGGGCCCAAGGGTTTTGATAAAGTCAATGGGAAAGCTCATACTATTTTAAATCTGAATGGGCTTTAGAACTCACTTGTAGGACCATTGGTAAGTCACAGACTCTCAGAGACTCAGTTTTCTCATCTATACAATGGGAACAATGATACTTATATTAACTACCTCACAGGATTGTTTCTAGGGGATCCCTTCTTTTTAATTGAAGAGTTCTTATCTTCCCATTTTGAATCTGGTTTCCAATCCACATTCTGCACCTTATTGGTCCAGGCCTCAGTTTCCTCATCTGTAAAATGAGGGAGTAGGGCTAGATGAGCTCTGCATGGTTTCTAAGATTCTTCCCAGTTTTAAATATTTGCTCTTACAATCTGCTGAACACAAAATATTAGAGCCAGAAAGGATCTCACAGATCATCCAAACCAATTCCATTACAATGAGGGAAAATGAGGCCCAGAGAGATGAGATTTGTCCAAAATTCACAGACCTTGTAAGTGGCAGAGCTGGGGTTCAAACCCAGGTCACCCAACTCTTAGATGGCTCTTTCCATGAAATACCATATGCCACCTTTTCAAAAGCAAAAGGACCCCTAGGTATGAACCAGGAATGCTCAGGCAGCTAGGTAAAATGGTTCGAAGGCTATACCTGAAGTCAGGAAGACCCAAGTTCAAATCCTACCTCAGACACTTCCTAGCTTTCTGAACCTGAGCAAGTGACTTAACCTCTGTTTGCCTCAGTTTCCTCATCTGTAAAATGAGGATAACAACAATACCTACCTTATAGAGCTGTTAAGAGGATGTTATAAGATAATATTTGTAAAGGACTTTGCAAACCTTAAAGTGCTATACAAATATTATTATATCATGAGAGGAAGCAAAATGTCCCATAGGCCCTCAGATGTGAGTAGGAGCCCCAGATGTATATATACCAGCATCTGGAAAACTTTGTAGGACTACTGATTTCACAGAAGAGTGTATCAAGTCCAACCCAAATGTAACCAGGTACCAGTAACACATCAGAAAGGCATTCAATTCACTAAATCATTTTTGGATAGAGAGGAGGAGAAAGAAGAGGAGTATACAAGAATGAAAAGGTAGAGACTAAGGAATGGCAGGTCAGAGGCTAAGAGATCAGTAGTCTCCCTCATTTCCTTTCCTTCATTTCCATGATGGGAGATGGGGAGGGAGTCCTCAGGGGGTACTAAGGTGACACCACTCTCTCCTTCTGCCCAGAGTGGGGAAGGAATAGAGAAGGGAAACATTCTCTCTAGCCCCTCTCTGTCTGTACCTTCTCCTTCCCTCATTTTATGTCTCTGGAGCCCATCTCTTCTTTGGTAGCAGGAAACAGTAGACAGTGCCTGCAAATGGAAGGGGCAGAGGCAGCTTCTTGGTGCGGTGGTGAGGAGGAGGAAGCAGGGAAAGGGGGAAAGAGAGAAGGTGGGGAAAGTGAAGTGAGAGGAAGTTTCTTCTAACTGAGCCACTGCCGCTGAAACCAGCCTCCCTGGGAAACAGTGTAAGTTAGACCAACTCAGACATGGCCCATCCTCCTTAGGCACTGCTTCCCTCAAACACAGGAGAGCTTACTTTTCCCCCTAGACATTAGGACATAGAGTGCTAAACCTGGAAGGGACCTTAGAACTAGAATATTGGATCTAGAAGAGTCTTAAAACGTAAAATTATTGAAATTAGAACACAGAATGTTAGAGCTGAAAAATTTCTTAGAACACAGAAACAGAGAACACAGAATACTGAAGCTCCCCATTTTACAGATGAGGAAACTGAGACCTAGAGAGAAGTGACTTTCCAGCTGATGATTGCTCTCCCAGCGATGAAGATGGGGGAGGGAGGAGTTGGGGATGGGCACAAATGGTTCCAACAGGGCAAACCCACAGCAGACTTCCTTTTCCTGACCCCTGACGCCAGAATGGACCACTAAAACCCTTCCTTTCTCCCAGACCCTCAGAATTTTCAAAGCCCCAAATAGAGACCCTCCTAACCCTTTCCCGACTTCCTAGCTGCATCAAGAGGCAGACTTCCCCACCCCCAGGTTCGCGGCAGGGGAATGCCCAGAAGGAGCCCTACCTGTAGCAGGGGTCCCCGGAGCAGGAGACACAGTTTGCAGGAATAGCAACAGACTGAGTGAGAGATGTAGCCCTGGGAAGGAAAGAGGTGAGAAATGTCACGATGGGGAGAAGAGGAAGAAGTGGGGAATGGAAAAGAAAATGAGATAAATAGGAGATGGGGAGGCAAAAGAGAACTCGAGAATGGAAGGAAAGAAAAAGGGAAAGGAGACAACAATGGAGGGGGGTGAGATGACATGAGGAGGGAGGGAATAAGAGGAAAGGGGAGAGAGAAATAGAAGAGGGGAAGGAAAGGAGAGAGGAAGAAGGGAAGAGTAAGGGAACGGGGAGGGCGGGGAAGACAAGTGAGGAGACAGAGGAGCCCCGGCTGGGAGCAATAGTCTGCCCTGACCGAACTCACAGCTCATGGTGGGCAGAGGGAGTTTAACAGAGACTAAAAAGCTGGCGGGTAGCCGGCCTCCGTCCGCTCAGTACCAGGAGCCCTGACCAGTGCGGGTTCCAGCCTCTTGTAGCCCTGAGCTGCCTGCCTCGGCTCCTCCTAGTGTTTCGCCTCACAGTCCCGCTCTCTAAACCTCCAGCCAGCTCCGCCCCCTCGGACGGGGCGGGGGGGCAGAGGGAGGGATGAATGGGGCCCCAGTGGGGTCCTGGAGTCGTCAGGGAATCTGTGGAGCGGTTTCCTGGACTTTTAGAATCGTAGACTCACAAAAAATGAAAGGAATCCGCAAAAGCAAACTCCCGCTAAGAGCTCTCTATAAAATCAATGACTAAAGGTTGCTTCACTACCTGGGAGGGCAAGAAGCTCCTTTTGTGGTTAATTTCATTTTAAATTACTTCTTTCTGCTAAGCTGAACTCTGCCTCCCTTATCTCTCACACCTCACTATCCCCTCTTCTACACCCAGGTGGTCTGGCTCTGGAATCTTTTCATTGTCTGCATTGCACGGACTATCATTTCTCAAACAGGATCATGAAATTATAAGATTTAGAACTGGAAGGGCCCTTAGAGAACATCTAATCCACCCTGACCCACTTTCTAGAGAAGAAAGCAAAGGCCTAAGAAGGGAAGTGACTTGCCCCAGGCCCTCCCAACTAGTAAGTAGCAAAGTCAGGATGGAAACACAGGTCTGATTCCAACTGACAAAATAGGCATGCCTACTTCTCATTTCTGAACTTGACCCAGGAGAATAGTGAAAAGGGCACAGAATTTGAAATAAATAAAAGAAACCTTAAGTTTGAATCCCAGCTCTATTACTCACTATCAGTGTGACCTTGGGGAAGTCACCCTTTATGGGCCTCTGTTTCATCACCTGGAAAATGAGTGGGTTTGATCACACGATCTCTTCCTTCTCCAAATCCTGCAATCATAAAGGTATAGGAACAATAGGCATCCCTTAGTTCCAGTGTATTGAAGACTCCTTTAAAGCCAACATTAAAGACCTCTTTGGTCTTCCAATCATAGTAAACCAATGGGGAACATTGCCACAAGAAAAGGAGCCACCTGGTCTTCTGTCCCCACCCAGGCAACTCCTAAGCTTCTCCCTTAAAAGCCAGTGGCTCTAGGGCCTGGCACAGATTTGGGAGGTGAGACAGGAGGAGGAGGAATGGGAGACCACAAGGCACTCACCCACCTTCTGAAGAATAATGTCAGCCTTTCCTTCCCATTCAATCCAGAGTAAAGTTCCTCCCTCAGAGATACTGCATAGAGGAAGGTAAGGGGGCTGTCACTTCAGGAAATGAGTCACTTTATGGGGGGGTAGTGTTTTCATCGAGGGATTTATTATGTCCTCCTATGGAATGGACACTTGGAACATCCTATAGTATGCTTCCTTTCCCTTCTTTCTCATAAGGAGCCAGTGCTACCACAGAAGCTTTAAAGAATGGTACAGGATAAACTTGCTGCTTCCTGGTATCATCTGTGCCTAAAGGCTTAACAATTATCCCTAGTTTAACAATTACCTTAGCCCTACCCCTTCTCCTCCCCAAAAAGTAACATGGTGTAATCTAAAGAGAACGGGATAAAAATCTTGAGACCTGGATTCTTCGAGTCCAGACTTTGCCACTAAGTTGTGTCATGTTGGTTAAATCCATTCTCCAGACCTGTTTTCCCATCAGACAAATGAGGAAGTTGGAACAGATGATCGCGAAGGTACTTTCTACTTCTAACATAGAATGTTACAATGGCTTCCAAGCACATCCTCACCATGCAGATTTTTATACCTCAGCCATCATCTTCATCTCCCTCCACTCTCAAAATCAGACTTCACCCCTGGCTCCCCTGGCCTTATCCTGCCCAGAGCCAGGCTTTTATTTACTCCATCTCCACATTGTGCTGCCTCCCTGGGTTTCCTCTCCCCCCTTCTCCCTCCCTTTTAGACTTTAAGTTCTTCAAGGGAAGGAATGATCTCCCTTGCCTGCATTGGCATCCCCAGCACTGAGCAAAGTAAGCACTTAAGAAATGCTTCACCTATAGGTGTTCAGAGATCTCTTCCAGCTCTGACATTCGATGTACTTGGTTCCCTTCCAATGCTACCATTGTATGTTCCACAGACTAACATTCTATGCCCTAAAGTCCTTTTCAGCTTGGATATTCTTTAATATTTAGGAGGCAACATGACATAGTATGAGGAGTTTGGGACCTAAAGTCAGGAGACCAAGGCTTGACTCTCACCTCAGATATTGACTCTATGTGATCACAGACTATCAATCACTTACTCTCAGTGCCTCCATTTCTTCATCTGTAAAATGGGGATGATAATGTTTGCACTACCTGCCTCATAAGGTAATTATGAGGAAAGTGTTTTGCAAACTTTAAAATGCTATATTAATGTGAGTTATTATTATATTCCAAGGTCCCTTCCAGAAGATTTCATATTCCATGGCATATAAATGTGAGTTATTATTATATTCTACCTTTTCTTCCAGAAGTTTTCACAATCTATGTTATATAAATGTGATTAATTATCATATCCTAAGGTCCCTTCCAGAAGATTTCATGTTCTATGGTATATAAATGGGAGTTATTAGTATATTCCAAGGTCCCTTCAAGAAGTTTTCATATTCTATGTTCTAAAGCCTTTTTCCACCTCTAATGACTTATCATAAATCAATAGATGTCATGGAACCTCAGAATCTTGCCAGACTCTTCAATGAGATTGTCCTAGCAGTCCAAAGAGGAGAACCTAAGGAGATAAATACATAGTTCCTAGTTTATGAATGAACTCGAATAGTCGAGCCCACAAAGAAACAAGATCAGTTGTTAAGAAACACAAAGGAAAGCATGGCCAAGAAGGAAAAACAACACCAAAAACTGACAAACTACTGCTGAAAAACAGATAAATTAATACTCAAAAAACAAGCCAAGATCTTCAGAGGGAAACAGGAGAAGGAAGGTTGTTATCAATTGCTACAGTGAGCCTGTGCTTTTGAAAGTTGAAAGAACAGGAAGAACAGTTATTGTTTTTCTTAAAGCTGAGAAACACAAATCAAAATAACTCTGACTTCTTACCTCATACTCAGCAAATTGGTAAAGATAACAAAAGAAGGGAATAGTCAATGTTGGAGGGATTCTGGGGAAGATAGGCACCTTAATGCATTGTTGATGGAATGATAAATTAGTCTAGCCATTTTGAAAATCCTTTTGGAAAGAAATTATGGAAATCAAGTGACTGAAAGCTCCATTCATCTTCTTTTACCCAAAGGGTCTACTACTAGGTATATACCCCAAGGAGATCACTGATAAGAAAGGACCCATATATGCACCAAAATATTTATAGGAGTACTTTTGGTGGTAGCAAAGAACTGGAAACAAAGCAGATGCCCATCAGTCAGGGAAACAACTAAACAAATTGTGGTGAACATAATGGAATAATAATGTGCTGTAAGAAATGATGAATATGATAAATATATAGAAGCATGGAAAGATTTACATGAACTGATGCAGAGTGAAATAAACAGAGCCAAGAAAACAATATACACAATGACTGCAACAATGTAAATGGAAAGGACAATAAATAAAAATGAATACTACTAAATTATAAAGAATGAATGTGAATCTTCCAAAGAAGAGATATGAGAAAACACTTGCCCCAACTCCTTTGCAGAGATGGGAGGTCCTCAGGTCTAGATAGATAGATAGATAAATTAATAGATAGATAGATAGATGGATATATTGATTTTGTTGGTGTACTGATAAGTTTTGCTTATTATATTTGTTCCTCTTCCCCCTTTTTTCTTTAAAAAAATATTCTTTCTAATATGGAATGGCTCTCTGGGAGGAAAGAGGGGAGGGATGCATGGAAAAATTTAGTCTACATAAAAGCAAATTCTATCAATAAAAATTGATTTTTTAAAAAATCTGCTAACCGTTTCTCTGATCTCTTATAGCTTTTACCCTCTGACCCTAGTAGCTATGAAACAACAAGTGGATCAATTTATCTCTATAAGCCTCAATTTTATCATCTGCAAAAATGAAGATAAAAATAATTCTACTACCTAATTTAAAGGATTGTTGTGAGGAAGCATTTTGTAAACTTTAAAATACTATATATGTATCTGAAATATTATTGCTCTCTTTTTTCTAATCCCTAGTTCTCTTGGATCATTTGGAAACCTCATAAAGGCAATTTTTTTGTTTTGTTTTTTGGGTTTTTTTTCTAAGGCAGTGAGGGTTAAGTGATTTGCCCAGGGTCACACAGCTAGTAAATGTCAAGTGTTTGGTCTGAGGCTGGATTTGAACTTAGGTCCTCCTGACTTCAGGGCTGGTGCTCTATCCACTGCACCACCTAGCTGCCCCCATAATAGCTTTTTGATCCCCCAACCTGATCACTACAAAATGAGTCAGCTAGTTAACTCCAAAACTTTGCCTTTGAACCTCTACTTTGCACTGATCTCACTTTCCTCTACATCATTTTCGTATTTGGGTTATTTGTTTATTTATTCTTCTCCCCCAGTAGACTATAAACTAATTTAGAGCTGGGCTTGTGCAATGATCATCTTGGTAACCCTGACACCCTGTTGTGCTTTGCACATAGGACGCACTTTTAAAAATGTTTCTAGAATTGAATTCATATCTGTCTTTAGTTGGTGAGCTCCATAAGGGTGGGGAATCCATATATTATTTACCTCTGTGTCCCCTTCTGCCTAGAAATGGTCCTGCATGGAGCAGACCCTCAAGTCAATGTACCATAGAGCCTCAGAGTTAGAAGAGACTTAAGAATATCTCAGAGAAGAAGAATGGCTCATATTTCTAGAGCAATTTAAGGTTTCTGCTACATTCTCAAAAACCTCTGTGAGCTGGGTAGTGCCAGGATAACCATTCATTTTACATATGAGGAAACTGTGAATCAGAGAAGCAAAGTGACATAACCAAGCTCAATAGCTAATAATTATGGGAACAAGGATTTGAACACGGAGGCCTCTTGACTCCTGGTGATGCACACTGTCCCCAAAAACATACTTCATAGATTTAATGGCATTTTGATGGGAGTCTGCTTTTTTTTCAATTTACCAATTATTAATCAAAGACCAATGTATATTAATTTTAATAAAATAATTGCAAAGTAGTCAAGAATGTCTTACAGTAGAGAAATCAATAGACTTAGAGATCCTAGATTCAAATCTCAGCTCTTCCACTTAACTGCCTGTGTAACCTTGAGTAAGTCACTTCATCTGTCTGTGACTCAGTTTCCTCATCTATAAAAATGAAGGGGTTGGACTCAGTGACCTCTAATGTCCCTTTCACCTCTAAATCTATTGTCTTACAGCAGTAAACACAGAGAAAAAATAATAATACAAAGCAGTTATATACCAAATAGCTTGGGAGGAAGGCCACTAGCAGGTGAAGTGATGAAGAAAGATCTCGTGTAGAAAGTGGTGCTTGAGCTTTGACTTTCAAGACAAAAAGAGGGGGGATTCTTTGAGGCCGAGGTGAGGAAAGAGTGTGTTCCAGACACATGAGATGGTCAGCCCAAAAGCACAGAGATGGGAGGTGGGCGCTGCTTGAGGAACACAGAGAAGGCCATTTTGGCTAGTTCACAGGGTGTGAGGGAGGAGTAACATCCTCTTAGGCTGGAAAGATTAATCGGGGACAAGTTGGGAACATTTTGAAAGCTGAACAAAGGAGTTTATATTTTATCCTAAAGATATTGAGGGCCAATGGAGTTGACTGAGTAGAGGAGTAATATTGTCAGATCTGGGCTACTTAAGGAAAATCATGTGGGCAGCAGCGTATAGGAAGGATTGGAGTGGAGAGTAACTTGAGGAAGAGAGACCAAGTTGCAATAATGAGAAGTGATCAGGACCTGAACCAAGGTGGCAGCTATGTGAGCAGAGGGAAGAGGTCAGATTCAAGAGATTGTATAGGTAGAAACAGCAAGATTTAGGAAAAGAGACAAACTCTGAGAAGACTATCTCCAAAGGAAGGCAGAGAGATGGCAATGGAGGAGGAGGGGGGGGGGAGGAGGAAGAGATCAGGTCCTCTGGAAGAGAAAGAAGAGCACTGGACTTGGATCAGAGGTCCTGGGTTTGATTTTTGGCTCTTCCACTTATAGCTTGTGTCCTTGGCCAAGTTACAATCTTTAACTTCTCTTGAGTTTGAGTATCCTTGTCTTTAAAAATGACTAGGTAATTTTTAAGATCCTTTTCAACTCTAAATCTATGATACTTTGAGCCCTACCCTTGGGGAATTCAGAGTCGAGCCAAAGAGACAAAAGACACAATTAAAAAAAACATTCTGAAGTCATGTATCCACAAGTGCCCAATAAACATATCTAATCAAGTATGTAAACAGTGCAAGCTTACTGAGCTCTGCTCTTAGCACAAACTCCTCTGCACCCTATACTCTGAGTTCAGGCCTTGACTGTCATTTATTTGTGTGAGTCACTTAGTCCCTGTAAAGTGAGGGGCTTTGACTAGGTTATCTTTAAGATCCTTATCATCATCGCTAATGTCACATGAGTATAGTCTGAATATGTAGGGTTTTGTCAATTTAATGTACCTACCAAAAAAGGATTTCCTAGTGGCTTGGCCTGGGGCCAAGGTATGGAGGGAAGGGTGAGAGTCCTGGATTCTGTTGGGGCGTAAGGTCCCTGGTATGCTTGGTTTCCAGAGAGGAAGTTAAAGGCTTTGTAGAGTAAAACTTCTCCCTCTCCAAGAGGTCCAGAGCTCAAGGCTTTTTTTTCCTTCTAGGCAAAGAAATTCAAGTTATTATTGTTTTCTCTTGAGCCCTCTTCCCTCACACCTATCTTTTCTCTGAACTTTTTGAAATCCATTCTCCTAAAGTCTAAGGTACACATCTGTATCGAAGGATTCTTTCTTAGTTTCCAAAAATTCTAAGATGGCAGGATAACTGTGCCATGCTACCAAAATCTTAATTATACCTTATGAGATCATAGCTATCTCCTTGTATTAAAATTTAAATTTGGTTTATTTTCAACCCATATTCAATGCACTGGCATAAAGAAATCTGAGGCTATAGATAATCGAGTTTCATTTCTTCAAGTTGTTTTCTCTTGCAAATGACAGGATCACAAGACTAAAAGTTAGAAGGGACCTTCAAAATAGTCTATTCCAGTCTTCATTAATTTTCTCATGTTTTATGTGAGGAAACAAGCTCAGAGAAGCTTAGTAACTTGGCTAAGCTAACACAGAGAAGTAGCTAAGCAGTTTTACCTGGAATTGGAAACTCCGTCTTTTAACTGTCAATTCAGTTTTCTTGCCACTACTCCATGGGAGCTTCTGATTGACCAGCTGTCGGCCTGGGTTTGCAATGAGTTCCATTTAGGGTGGCCAGGTGGGAGAATCAGTCAATCAACAAGCTATGTGTCAGGCACCATAACAGGGGATGGAGATACAGAGACAAAAATGGAAAAGGCCCAACCTGTAATGAAATATCCTTGCTTAAACCTTAAGATAGCTTGGTTATGGTAAAGAAAGGAAGGATCAGGAAATAGGAGCTGGCATTCACTTATTTTCATAAGCCCAGGAAAAGGAGGAAAATTATTTCATGGTGTATTGGAAAGATCAGTGTATTTGGAGTCAAAGAGCTTGGGTTTCAATTCCAGATCTGCAAATTTGACTTGTGTGACCTTGACTAAATCACTTACCGTCTTTGTGCCTGTTTCCTTTTGTGTAAATGAAGGTGTTAGATTATTTCAGCAGGTCCCAAAGTATAGTCTGAAAGATGTTTGAGGGTCAGTCAGTCAAAAAACATTTATCAAGTATCTTCTATGTGCCAGGCACCATGCTAATGCTGCCAATACAAAGAAAGGCAAAAGAAAGTCCCTTCTCTCTATGTACAAATAAAATATATGCAGGATAAATTGTAGATAGTCAACAGAGGGAAGGTGCTAACCTGAAAGGGGACTGGGAAAGGATTCCTAGAGAAGAGGAGATTTTAGCTAGGACTGGAAGGAAGTCAGGGAAGCCAAGAGGCAGATCCCTAAGACTTTCAGGGGATTTACAAGGTCAAAACTATTTTCATGATAATGCTAAGATGTTTTCATTCTAATTCAGTTAATATCAATAGATATAACCCACATAAACAAAAGCTGTTTGGGGCCCTCAGAGACCAAAGCTTTGGAGAGCGACTGAATGACACCCGTCTCTAAGATCCATTCCATGAGTATCATCCTATGATCCTGCTGAGGTAAAGGGGTACAAAAGACCCTCTGAACCCTAGGAGCCAAGCAGGCTCAGGAGGATGGATGATGCCTCACACTGAAGTTTTTAGATAGCTACGGAAGATTTAGAAAACAGTAAAAAGAGAACTGTCTGGGAACCATTCCAAGAATCTGGAATCCTCAGGAAGCTGACATATTAGCAAAGCCTAAGGCCCATTGCCTAATCCTTTATAACATCCTCCAACATTATACTTCTTTCTGAGTCATCTCTTTCTGTTTGCCATGTCATAGTTTCCACTTTTACAATTTTCTCTGGACATTTTTCTCCCACCCTCTTCATTTTCAATTAAAAGTGACCTTTCTCTCCAAATACTTTGTATCTCTTCTCTACCTCTGTCATCTTTTTCCTTGACCATATTTATTTGTCTCTGAGTCTCATCTCTCCTATTAATATGTAATCTTGAGGGCAGGGACTGTGTGGTTTTTCCATTTTTGAATCCTTAGCACCAAGTGCAGTACTTCAAATATAGCAAATCCCTTCAAAAAAATTTTTTTTAACTTTGCTGTTTCATTTTGGCTGTGGTCAAATTGTTTCCTCATTGGTAAACTTATTCTTGATCCTGCTGTCTACTAAAATAGAAGTACAGCTTCACACTTTCCTAATTGCTTTCAAGTTTTTGTTTTGTTTTGTTTTGCTTTTAATTTTTATTTTGAAGTTAAACACCAAAAAGGAACATTCCCATACACACAGCAAAACATTGAAAAGAAGTTCCCCTATGAAACTTCAAATCTCCATTTCATACTACTTGCCCTTTTTTTCTTTAAAATATACAGTACACTATACATGTAGCTCTCAAAACTGCCTTGGGTATCTGTGCTTCCTTCCAAAATTCCTTATGTCTACTTCTATGCATTTAAAAAAACAGATGTTTCAATGGGCCTTTTTTTGATATCACTATTGCTAATCTCCCTAACCTCTTCCCCTCCCTCCTCCTCCAATTAAAAAAAAAATGAGAAAATGAAAGAGGAAAAAAAAACTTCTTGTAAGAAATAGTACACATTGTGCCCATAGCCCAAAACGTGTCTCTCTCCACCTTGTGTCCATCACCTACCTCCCTGTCAGAAAGTAGTTCTGTTTCATCATAGGTCTCTGGAGACGTGGTTGGCCACTGCATTGGTCTTCATTCTTGAGTCTTGAAAAGTGATTTTTCTTTACAATGGATTGCTGTCTTTGTATAAACTGTTCTCTTGGTTGTGCTCACTTGACTCTACATCAGTTCATACTGTACAGGATTCTCTGAAATCATCTATTTCATAATTTCTTTCAGCAGAATAATATTCTATTACATCCACTTACCACAGTTTGTTCAACCATTTCCTGATTGTCTAAAAGGCTATGTAAGACACTCTCTTAGATTCTAGTTCTTTGTTTTTCTGCCCTCCCTGTCCTCCCCACCCCCCAACTTTCTAATCTACCCTTTAGGATCAGGAAGATTGTTTTGCTTGTGACTCTTATCTCCCTAGTATTTTCCAACTTTTTAACTACACCCTCTCCAATCCCTATTTTTTTCCTTGCTGAGTTTGCTGTGTTTCTATACCAAATTGTTTCTGTGCATGTTCATGTCTCTTCTATTTGTTCCAGATAAGAGTAAGGTTCATTCTGGAGCATGCTGCAGCCAGTTCTCAAGAGCCGACTGGAAATCACCAGTGCTATAAATTAAAACTTGATTTATTGTTTTGTTGACTGTCTAGACTTAAGGAAGTGGTGGATAAAATATCAATAATGCAGATTAAATTTAAAAGTGTTATGCAGTACCTTTTTTTTGTCCGTGAGCTGGTTGCTAAACATTTACCAGCACACCCCTGCATTAATATTATGCCTACTCCCCCCCATCACTTTCTCCAGGATTGTATACTCTTTTTCTCACACATCTCAATCATATCATCATACAGCTCCTCCCAATTGCTCAAGCAAATTTATCTTCCTAGGTTTTTCTGGACTTTTGTGTTTGCAATTCAGAGTTCTTACTCAGGAAAGGTCTTATCATCAAATGGTTTGAGAGTCCTCTATTCCATTAAAGATTAACTTTTTTTCCTTCTAGGATTTTACTCAGTTTTTCAGGATAAGTTATTCTTGATTGTAAGCCTATATCTTTGACCTTTTAGAATATCCTTCTAGAATCTCTTCTGGTTTATAGTAAAAGCTTCCAGGTCTTATATGATCCTGATTTGTAGTTCCTTGGTACTTACACTCCTTCTTTGAGGATTGTTTTAGTATTTTTTCTTTGGTATGGGAGTTCTAGATTTTGGCTTGGACATTCCTGGGACTTTTCCTTTTAAGATTCCTTTCAGGAGGTGACTAGTGGGTTCTTTCTATCTTTATTTTGTCCTCTGGTTCTAATAAACCTGGGAAATTTTCTTTTTCATATTATTTTATTTTTTTCCAATTATGTGTAAAGACAATTTTTAACATTCATTTTTACAGAATGTTGAGTTCCAAATTTTTCTCTCTCCCTCTTTCCCCTCCCCTTCCTAAAATGGTAAGCAATTTGATATATGTGCAATCATGTAAAATATATTTCCATCTTAGTCATGCTGTAAAAGAAGCAACTTACCAAAAGGAGAAAAAAAACACAAAAAAAATAAGGAAAATGAAAATAGTATGCTTTGATTTGCATTTAGAGTTCTTTCTCTGGATGTGGATAGCATTTTCCATCATGAGTCCTTCAGAATTGTTTTGGGTCATTGTACTGCCAAGAGGAGCTAAGTCATTCATAGTTATTCATCACATAATGTTGCTGTTAGAGTGTACAATGTTCTCCTGGTTCTGCTTATTTCACTTTGCATCAGTTTGAATAAGTCTTTCCAGGTTTTTCTGAAATCCACCTGCTCATCATTTCTTATAGCACAATAATAGTATTCCACTACATTCATATACCACAGCTTGTCCAACAATTTCTCAATTGATGGCCATCCCCTCAATTTCTACTTTTTTTTGCCACCACAAAAGAGCTGCTATTAATATATTTGTGCATGTAGGTTTTATCCCTTTGTATGATGTCTTTGGGATAAAGACCTGGTAGTGATATCACTGGATTGAAGGGTATGCACAGTTTGGTTGCCTTTGGGTATAGTTTCAAATTGCCCTCCAGAATGATTGGATCAGTTTACAACTCCACCAATAGTGCATTAGTGTCCCAAATTTCTCACATTCTCTCCAACATTTATCATTTTCCTTTTCTGCCAACCTAATAGATATGAGGCAGTACCTCACAGTTGTTTCAATTTTCATTTCTCTAATCAAAAGTGTTTTGGAGGATTTCTTCATATGACTATAGATAGCTTTGATTTCTTCACCAGAAAACTGCCTGTTCCTATCCTTTGACCATTTATCAATTGGGGAATAGGATCTGGGAAATTTTCATTCATGACATCTCATTTCTCAACTGGCTGCACTATTTTGGGACTTCTCTGACTGGCTTCTCTACCATGCCCTCAAGTCAGGTAGCTTCTCTTTTCCTATACATCCCCTCTTCCTGCCCCACCCCATTAGAGGCTCTTTCTTGAGGGAAAGGTCTGTTTTTCTTTTTCTGTGTTTGTATCCCCAGCACTTAGCACACAGTACCTGATGCACAGTAGGTGTTTAATAGATGTTTATTAACCTAGAAATATAGGATCCAGTCTTTTTTCTAATAATGGCTTTCAAGGAGTTCAATGATTCTTAAATTATCTTTCTCTGACCTGTTTTCAAGTCAATTGTTTTTGGTAATTTACATTTCCCCCCTATTTTTTTCAGTCTTTTGATTTTGTTTTATTTATTGCTGTTTCACAGAGTCACTGATTCCTGCTTGTTCTGCTCTAGTTTTTAAGGAATCTGTTGCTTTAATAAGGTTTCCACTTTCTTTTCTAAGCTACTTAATCTTTCAAGTTTTTCCTCCAAAAGAGTTATTTCATTTTTTATCTCTGGCTTCATTTTTTGCTAGGTATTGATGTTTTGTTTGTTTATTTGTTCGGGTTTTTTTTACTCTCTGCTTAGAGTAGTTACAAAGCTACTCATTCCTCCATTTAGGGAATCTTTAGATTTTATGCTAGTTTTTATTTTCTTTGGTTTACTCCTCTTTCCAGCTTTATTTCCTGCATTTGGTCTTTGTTCTAGGGCTAAGCTGAGGCCTCTCCTGCGCTTTTAGGTGAGGTGGTCAGCCCTGTTTTGTTTCTCCTGAGGTAACCTGGGTTCAAGTAAGAAAAGAAATCTTCAATGAGTTTCAGAAAGCAAAGCTTCTTAACCATTTTGGGTACCATGGGGCCCTTTGGAAGTCTGAAGAAGCCTATGGACTCTTCAGAAAAATATTTTTAAATGCACAAAATAAAATACATAGAACAACCAAGAAAACCAAAGGTTAGTGAAAATGAAGAAGTGATTTTTTTCCCCCAAGTTTCCAGACCCCTTGAAATCTAGCCACATGGATCCATGGACCCCAGGTTAAGGTCTGCATTAGAAGGCAACTGTTCCTTCTTCCTACTTCTTGGGGAGGCAAGGTAGACCCAAGGAAGTCAAAGTGAACAGCAGGGGCCCTAGCAGACCAGGAATGCTAGGAGGCTGATATCTTAAGGATGGATCTCTCATTAATTAGCTCTACCTGTGGGCATGATGAAAAAGAGACTCTAAAATACCACCCAGAGTAGCAACTTGCTCCCACTATAAGAGGCATACAAGAACTGGATGACTGGATGACAGCAGATTCACATTTCCTATCATATTTACTTCTGAAAATCTGGTCATTACATGGATGTGCTAATTACTCATTGAATGGAGTGGAGTGGAATTGCCAACACTATTTAACTACTTAAGACTTTCTCCAACCTCTCCTTCTTTTCTCTCTTCCTCTCCCTCTCTTTCTCTCTCTCTCCCTAGTCCCTCTTCCACCTCCACCTCTCCCTCCAAGCAGCAGTAGTGAATTGCATTTGGCAAGTTAGGGAGGTCTTACCAGAATTTCTATCAATCTCAGAAGTGTACCCTCAGAAGATAACATACCTTCTAATCAATCAAGTCAGGCCTATGGACCCTCCAAAATGGCCCCTAGAGTATAAGGACTCAGAAAGTCCAATTTTGTCCTTCTTGGGATAAGCCTCATACCTATTGTATAGTTTCAGTGGCTCACAGTCTCATCTTCTTCCCATTCTTATCCGCCACATTCTTCTACTTGTCAACCCCATGACAGTGGTTTCAATTCCTGTCTGCAACCTCAGAATCTCTTCCTTTCTGATTTCCTTTTCAGTTATTTCTTCTATCCTGAAGACCAATTCTTTATCATCTCTAACAAGCCAGAGTGCATGGAGAGGTTCCTTGGACACCTTAGTGTCCTTAGTACTTAGTACACACCTAATTGGTGAATGCCTCAGGTAGACCTAATCCCTGAACATCCCTAATGAAGTCCTCCTTGGTTTCCCTCAGTGTTGGAAGGGAAGGGTTAGGATTAAGTTTCTCAAGTAGATTCTAGCACTTTGTACCTTCTCCTGAAAACTCCAGTGACCATTAGACTTATAAATTCCCAAGGTGAGGACTCCTGGCAGCAGGAGCAGCAGCAGGCAGTGACAAGGACCAGTGAGTACAATAGCACTTAGACCTCCAACTTAGACAGTCCAGGCTATGGGGCTCTTAGCCCTAACTTCTCTGTCAATACCCTGTCTCTACCTTCTCTGTCTATAATTAATGAATTTACAGTTCTCTTGAGACTGACTCTAAATATGTGACAGATGAATGACCATGATGGAGTTTGGGAGAGAGCTAGCTATATCCCAAAGGATATAACCACAAGAGAAAACATAAAGCCCTCTGTGGTAGCAAGAAGACAAGGAATGAGCAGCTAGTCAGTTCCACTATGAATAGTCTCCCACTTTGTGGTAGAATATAGGGTTCTCTGACCTTGGCTGTTCCCCATTATACACACACATCATCCACTCCATTTTTTCCTGGGAAGAAATCCTCTTACTGTTGAGGTCTAGGGGTATAGGGGTGCTGGGACCCCAAAATCATGACATGCAGGTCCTGCCCGAAATAATTCCATCCAAGTCTTCTTTCAGCCAAAGACAGGGTTTATTAGAACATCCTTCATATTGGGCAGACTCTGAACATTAGTGAGCTATTGGCTAGATTATAAGAATCTGAGCACCTTAATGGAGACAAGATGGACCTTATATACAGAAAGACTATGGGAGGGATCTAGGAGTGGCCAAGTAGTCTTCAGGAACTGTGAGGTAATAC